AAAAAAAAAAAAAAAAAAAAAAAAGATTTGTGTTAAAAGCCAGCACGTCTTTGTTTGAACTGGTATTGCTTGTTTCGACTTTCGAGGCTCCAAAGTTTTCATTGGTTTCGGCTATTGTATGCCACCTCTCTCCAAAACCGATCTAATTACGAGAGTACATTTTTCTGGTATGCTTTATAAGCCTATAAATTCGCAGAGGTACAGCCTTTCTCCGAATACAACCACCTCAAAGCAAGAGAACTAATTCAAAGCACTTCTCATTTCAGGATTACAGAACTTAAATGTTACAGATAAGTGAAGCAAAACAATCAAATAAAAGATGCACTACACATATAAATGGAGGAAGAATCATAAGATACGTAAACTGGCCGTTTCTGAAAACAATTCACAACTCGAGTAATGTAGATGACCACGATTAAAGTTTAAGAATACAAATACCTCTGTTAGATGACCACGACTCTTTAAAATGGTATGATATTATCCACTTTGAGCATAATCTCTCATGGCTTTGCTTTGAGTTTCTCCAAAAGGCCTCGTACCAATAGAGAAAGTATTATTTAATTATAAACCCATGATCATTCCCTAAATTAAACAGGTGGGACTTTCATCATCCAACACTCGCCTTAAAAAGTACAAACTAGTGCCTCTCATTTGTTCAATAATTGTCTAAAACAAACAACGCTGCCTGTTTTGGATTTAAATTACACGAATCCACAATATCATAAGCAGAAAAAATTAACCTAATCAGCGTATCCAGTCAATCCTGCGTCAAACATTATCAAATGCAATCGAGACAGTTTCATCGGCTATCTAGAACTTAATATGAAAGCACTTCTTACTTCTTTGAGAAAAGTAGTAAACGATTAACAATGTCCACTTCTAACAACAGTTGCTAGAAAATCTAATGAATAACCTCGCTAAACAATGTCAGGCAGGCAGATATTCATTGCGAGAAAGCTAGTAGTTCGCGTTTTTGCGCGCCTTTTGAATGTGTGCGTTAAAGAGAGAGAAAGAAAAACGAAGAAGCGTACCGTAGACCAGAACTGAGCGCTGCGATTCAGATTCCGGCAACGAAATAGACCGATCGTCGGGTTTTGATTCGGAAGCGCCATCGCAGAGATGCCGGAACAAGATGAACAAGGAGTTCCATAATCGTTTGCGCGGGTAGGAACTACATAAATAATTTTTCAAATCAATTTTTACCTTTAACTAAATTATATAAGTTTTTATCCCAACTTTTCATTTCCATCAGATTAAATATTGAAATATTAATTTTTAACATACAAAAATTAAAACTTTTTTCAATTACAAAAAAAAAAAAATATATATATATATATATATATAAATTAAAACCCATAAGAAAGCGACTGAACTGATGCTCAAATAAGAGCATATCATATCATTGTGGAGAGTAGTGATTCCTAACACAGTAATAGAGACATCATTCCCTAAACTATGATGTGAGAATTTCATCTAACATGGACTTATAAAGATTACTGTAACAGCCCTAATCCAGGGCAGCTAGTAGATATTATCCTCTTTGGAATTTCCCTTTCATGCTTGTCCTCTTTAGAATTTCCCTTTCAGGGAGCACTTTTGGAATTTCCCTTTCAGGGCTTCCCCCTCAAGGCTCTAACAGCACTGATCCATAGCCGGGCTTCCCCCTCAAGGCTCTAACAGCACTGATCCATAGCCACTGCCGCTAGCAGATACTGTCCTCTTTGAAATTTCTCTTTCGGACTTTCCCTCAACGGGGAACAGCCCTGATCCACCGCCACTGCCATCGCCGCTAGCAGATATCTTTCTCTCAAGGCTGCAACAGCCCAAATTCACCACACTAGCAGATATTGTCCTCTTTGGGATTTCCTTTCAGGCTATATGCTCTTTGGGATTTCCCTTTCGGGTTTCACCTCAAAGCTTTAAAACGCGTCTTATAAATCCAATTATTGTAAAATAAAATCCAAAATTTATAGCGTTGATTGTGAAATATAAATGGATGATATAATTTTTTTGGCAACGGAGATAATTTTTGACGACGGTTACAAACTTAATCTCATAAATATTTTGTAGCTTTTGATCGTAGATTAAGGAACTGTTGTCAATCGCTAATAAAAGTAACGGTTGCATAAAGTCAAACACTAAAAGAAATTGCTTTAACTGATTTGGACGTTAAAGTAGTAGGAAAGGAGCAAAAATCACGCATTAACTAAAACGTGACAAGATTCCCGAGACATAAGTAGGAGCTGATATCCCTAATTATAAGTCTTTTATCATTTTTAAAAATAGAACGAGTCAGAGTCGAAAAGAAGAGAAAACAAAACATTTCTTACAAGAATGTGCGAACCTCTCACCAATAGACACGTTTTAAAGTCATGAAGTTGACGACGATGCGTAACGAGCTAAAACCTACAATATATTTCAAAAACTCAAATTTTGAAATATAAAGACGAAAATTAGACGGAATCCATTAAGCTAACTCGGAAAATCTCTCCCTACTTATTCTTACAAACTTTTTTAGGGCGGGTCTCTCAAAACTCCGACCTTGTAGGTTAAATGGATAGTAGTACAAAATCTATATGTTTTTTAGATGAATTTTTAAAAATTTTAAATACATAATATAGATCTTACCATTTTAAAATTTTAATTTAATTAGTAAAATAGGGAATAAAAGGTTAAATTTAATTAATTAAATAAGAGACATTATTTATACGTTGCCGCACGTACATACTATTATTATATATTATTATTATTATTTAAAATAAATAACGAATCATAAAAGGAGGAAGCTCTTAGCCCTAAAACCAAGACTAATTGAATTAATATAATGTGTATATATAATAATATTATTAATTTAAAAAAAATTAAAAATTTAGTAATATGTGGGGAATTTTTGGGTACTTGTGTGAATTGTGATCACTGCGAAACGTGTTGTTCTCAGTGGAATAGCGTTGGATCCTCTTTCCATTCTCATCGAACGGAACAACCACGGTTTCCTATTTTATTTATTTATTTATTTATTTTAATTTAATCCCTATTTGTCATAATGATGATCATAAAATTGATTTTCAATTATTAAATTGGGAATTTAGTATATGAATTATGAGTGTAATTCATCAACTTTTTTTAAAAGTTGTATCCACGTGGAAAATAAAATAAAAACGGAATTTTATTGTTCTTTTAATATATATATTTTTTTATTTTTAATTTAATGACTCGATCATGATTCTGAGCTAGTTAAATTCTCGGGTCGAGGAGCAAAGTAGTGTCAAGTAAAATTACGTACTTATATGCAAAATGAGTTCCATTGTAACTATACCTAATATAACAATAAAAATTTTCACGCGGTGAAAAACAAACCGTTCGACTCGACTAGGACTACACTCTATATACTGAGTTGATTAAAAGTTTCCAAACTACTACTGGTAGCTCGAAATGTCCACATGCACGTGTTCTGCCATAGATAGTCGATAAACTCGAATTTTCTGCCCATAACACTAATATATTTATTTGGTAAAAACATAAATTTTATTACCATGATGGTTAAATTACCATTTTAGCCTCGAGTCTATTCCCTTAGTATTTATATTATTGAATACATAAATTTAATAAATTAACTATTCAAAATGCTTAATTTATTGTTAATTATTCAACAAACATTTAAATATCTTTTAATTACATATAAAATTATTATTATTATTTCACTAATTTAAAAATATATTAAATAAAATTAGATATTTAAAAGGACATTTATTAAAATAAAATGAAATTTAATATACCAACACCAAAATGAAAATTTAACCCACAATGACATTAATGCCTTTATTTTATTATTATTAAAAAAAAAAAAAAAAAAAACCTCCAGCGTTCCCTCTTTTTCAGGCAACCTTTCGGTCGTTCAACTGCACCTGGACTCGACACGTGGGCTTCAGACGAGTGCTGGGCCCCACTTCAACGGAGCTTTTCTTACAGTACACGGTACGATAAAAAAGGGTACAGAAACGAACCGGTCCAAGAAGACCGGTTGAGTAGTATGTAGTAAGAGAATCTTGCGTTCTCAGCCGTTGGATTTCGTGGGGATCCATAAATCTGACAGGCACGTGTCAAAATCAGGCGGTTGGGATCGAGAATGAGGAAAGCTGAATCACGCAAAACGACAAACAAGGCAGTTCCGAAAAGTGAGTTATAAAAGCTAAGAGAGAGTGAGAGAGGGCTTTGAGCGTCTGATCACAGTAAGTTAATTAAGACATAGTGACGTGGCAACTTTATTTTTATAGGGACAGAATGGACCACATAATTATTAGTTAACGGTTGATAGACGCCATTTAACTGCCGTTAATATTTAACGGAAACCATTGGTTCCTGGGACAGGCGATGTTTTGGAAATTTCGAGGTTGTTCTTAAATCTTTAAATCGTTTTCGTACCATTTTATTAGTTCTTATAAGTGGTTTAAATATGAAATTAATATTTTTCTTTTAAAAAAATTAAAATTACTTTAAAAAATATATAATGAACTTAAATATTAGAATTAAAAAAGAATTGACTGTAACTTTAAAAAATAATATAAAAATATTAGTTATTTTTTCAGACAATAATCGAATTTATGGGACAGAATGATTATCTCACGTGTAAATACACTAATAAAAGAATAATTTTACGAATATAAATTGCATAATTTAATTTCCGTTTTTTATTTATAAATTAGGGAGTAATTTACGTGCTGGTAATGGAATTTTGAGAGTGAGGGTAAATTTGTAATAACGAGTTATTGTAAGGGCAAATTTGTACTTCAATTTACTAAAATGGATGTTTCGTCCTCTCCACATTATGTACCACATTTGACTGAAAATGCAAATATTATTATATTAAAAAAAAAAAAAAAACAGAAAAAAACAATTTAAACGAAAATTGTGTACGTCACGGCGGTTTAAGGAAAAGCTAAAATTTCATGTTTGTATTATTTTTTATATATTAATTTATTCTAATCCTTATATTTTAAAATAATATTAATTAATTTTTTAATTTTTTAATATTTTTAAACTCCCAATTATTTTAAAAATAAAAAATAGGGTAAATAAATAGCTAGAAAAAACACCATTTTGAAAAAAAAAAAAAAAAATTATTGGATGGTTAGTCCCAAATGCAATGTTACTTGTCGAGACCTTCAAGAACGACGAGTTGACAACTAGCTAGGGTTCAACAACTTCATCTCGGTTTAATGAATCACGTCTAAAGTTATTACTAGCATAGTATATATGGTTTGTTTTAGCTCATTACATATTACACACTTATAAGGAATGTTTCGTTCGTCGGATAAGCAATTGTTACTATGTAGTGGGACCCACGCGATTGCGACAGCGGTTTTAATTATTGAATTAAAAAATAAAAATAAAAAAAATAAAAATAAAAAGTGGAAGGGGGAGTTGGGGGAAATAGGGTGGGTGTGGGGGTAACAATAATGCATCCGAGACAATTCTGTGGGCAAATTTAAAGTGGGTGTCATACGCTGCAAATGACACTGTATTTCTAGAGAGAGAAATTTTGTGTTTTTTTATTTTTTTATTTTTTTAATTTTTTAATTCGAGGATTTTTGTAGAGAGAGAAACTTTGAATGCTTGTGAGTGAGCTGTGCGAGAGAGGAAGAGTATTTCACAAGCTCACTGCCTTCGCTGATTTTGAGGCATTCCATTCCACTGAGAGAGGGGAGAGGGACAGAGAGAGAGGAAAGAAATTGGGGAGCAAGTTTCGTTCTTCCCCCATTCATATTTTCAATTTCTTCTTCTTGTTTCTGCATTTTGGTGTTCGTTTTTCTTCCTAGATTCTTCTTCCATTGCGGAGGAGAGGAGGTGAGCTTTGAACTCCCTTCTTCAATTGCGTCGTTTCCGTTTCTTTTTTCTTGCGATCGTTTTGATGCATTTTGGTGTTTTTTTTTTTTTTTCTTTTTGTAAGGATGATTCTGCGATCGTTCTGTTTATGTTATCGCTATCATTGCATGTTCAATTCGTTTGTTCATTTGAGGTTTTGAGGATTCGTTCGTTGTTTTGATCTCCGTTTTTGGCGTATCTGATCGATTTCGAACTGTTAGAACGCTCTCATTGGATGTTTGATTTTCGATGTTTGTACGCTTAATTTGCTGGACTTTTGAATGTTTTTCTATTGGTATTGGATTCTTCATCTGGAAACTTTTTCCCCTTTTGATTCATAGATTTGTGTTCATTTTCTTCTTTGATTGCCGGCATTATCACATAAACCTCTTCTGTTTGAATTGAAACTGTTGATTTTCCTATCAAATCTGTTTGCGTTTTCTTTTCGTTGGCGGTTTTTTTTTTTTTTCTGGAAAACGTGACTGAGATGATCGTTTCTGTTATCAGTATAGCCCTAGATTCAGTCATTTTTGTTCTTCCATTGAAGTAATTCAGCTTGTTTACAGGAAACAAGCTTGGCCATTGCCAGAGGTAAGCATTTGCAGTGTTTGAAGATAAAGCTGAGGCAGAGGTTACTTACTTCACAGAGAAATCAGTTCCACTTTGAATTCAGCTATAACCATGGCTGACTCTGGTTCTGAGCTGTGTCCTGTTCAGTCTGCTGTGCTGGGGCACAAATCCATAAGCAACTCCTTTTTCAGTGTCCCTGGTCTTTTTGTTGGCTTAAATTTCAAAGTTTCTTCAGATTCTGATTCAGTCAAGAGTCCCACCTCTCCATTCGGATTTAGGGTATTTTCAAATCTTAGCAACTCTGTGGGATCCCCTAAGTCATCCCATGATGGACATAGGAGGTGCTGGGATTGTAGTAAAGTAGGATTAGGCATAGTTGATTCTCTTGATGATGATCATAAGCTATCTGGTAAAGCTCTTGGATCATCTGAGGGCAAGAACATCATTTTTGGACCTCAAATTAGAACCAAGAGTCACACCCCAAATCTTGTAGGGCCTAGATCTTTGCCTAAGAATTGTCCGAACTTCCCGCCATCACAGTTCAAAGCAAGGCACGGTGGTGGTGGTGGTGGCTCGGAGGTTTTCTTTGAAATTGGAGAACCATTAGAATCCAAGCCTTCAAAGAAAAGCGGGGCTTGTTCACTGGATGCACCCCGGTTTGTTTCAGCAGCATCATATGGTGTAAAAGGCCATAGCTTGTTCCATTCTTCAAATCCATTCGTGAAGAAAGTGTCGACCAATGACGATTTGGAGCCTCATGACAAAATTCTACCTGCAGATAGTTCAACCCCAGCATCTGTCATGCTGCCTGTAACCGGGATCATTGAGTCTCTTTCTGCAGACGAAATCGAGCTCTCGGAGGATTATACTCGTGTAATATCCCATGGTGCCAATCCAAAAACCACTCACATTTTTGGTGACTGCATTTTAGAATGTCACTCTAATGATTTGAACAACATGATCAAGAATGAAGTGAAGGAGATAGAATCTCCTCTGTCAGCTCAAAGCAACCTGGACGTTTCTTTTTCATGTCAACCAATTGATTTCCTGAGTTTTTGTTACTTTTGCAACAAAAAACTTGAAAGTGGGGAAGACATATACATTTACAGGTTCGTTATAAACACATTATGCAATCACTTCTATAGCTGTTGAGACATTGTTGAATGTTCTAGACTAAACACACTGTTTCGAACAGGGGCGAGAAATCATTTTGTAGCTCGGACTGCCGCTATCGGGAGATGTTAATCGAAGAAGAATTGGAGAAATCTGTTTGTGAAGTTTTCAAACACTCTCCAACTTCGAGAGATGGCAAAGAAGAGTTTGGAACTCATGGTGTCATTTTTGAATGAACAGGTCGGTCACCTCCACGGCCAATTGTGGAAACAAATGCTGCGCGGTCATCTGTTAACAGAAGAGCTGCTGTTGCTCATGGCAGCCATGGATGATCCTCTGTATATTGAATGATGCATTTGTTTGATCTGCATTTCACTGTTAGGGTCTGAGTGGAGGATGAACTTATAGACATGTTTTTTTCCTTCTTTTTTTCCTTTTGGGTTTTAATTTTCACATAAATTTGGCAATTTTATTGTCAAGCCAAGCTTGTATTGCTGCCTTGTAGAAGAGTTCACAGGGTAGAAGCCTGCTTTTATGGCTCCCCCATCTTCTCTCTAATTTTCTGGCTTGTATCTTTTTAATGGCCAGATATTCATATACTACAAAAGAGACCCAGAGCCAAGTTCTTCATGTCTAACACTCCCAAATACTTAATCACCTTGGATCATAATAATGTTCTTTAATCCAACTTTTGAGGGGGAAAACAAGAGATCAAAATAGATCTGTCTCGTATTGCTTTACTAAGCCATAGGAGCGTCTTTCGGTATCCTTTTCGTACTCTTAGAAAGTGTGGTGGATAGGTCAATGAGTTCTAAAACATTATAATCCTTGTTCTTGTTCTTGAAAGCTCAAAAACATTTTTTTCTAGTACTTATTTAACCTTTCTCATGTGTGATGATAGGTCCATGAATTTGGGTTATATGTTTCATTGTCATGTTTTGTTTTTGTGGTGTTGTCTCTTTCGATGGTGCTTTCTTTGTTGCAATTTGTTTTCTCCATCCTTTTCTTTTTGCCATTCTCTTTTTCTAATGTGAGAAAGATGATGAAAATGAAAAGAAACCACTTTTGTTTTATTCTTTTTTTTTTTCCACCCAATATTTTATTAGGATCTCAATTTTTAAATTACTGCAAATCCAAAACTGTTCCCTTTTTAACTTTTAGAGTTCATTAACCCATTAAAGCCATGATTTCATGCTTATATCATGCTTTTAGTTAGAGTTCATTGATATTGCTATCACGATCGACAAATGGGACTAGGAGCACGGAATCAATGTTATAGTAGCTACTATAAATATCAACAGACGTCAAAAACATAATCGACTTCTAATACGAAGATTTTTCAAATATATGTTTTTAGATTGAAACAAAAACGGATAGAAAAAACCTTTTGAGGTTGTTTGAGGTGTGGTATCATTAAAAGGAAAAACATGGAACAATGAAGAAAGTGAGATGGCCATGCTTTGTTACTTTGGTCCCCTTTTATCCAAATAAAGATTGATGGCTTTCTCTGCTGCCCCTCCCTCCACCCACTTCGCATGTGCTCCCATTATTGCCCATATATGGTATTGCCCGTATATGGTATATTATCCACTTTGAGTATAAGGTGTCATAACTTTGCTTTAGGCTTTCCCAGATGTCGTATTCATCCCTTATAAACCCATCAATGTGAGACTCACTCCCAATAATCCTCAACGAACAATATCATCCAACATTTTGAGGTTATTAAAGACGAGCAGAAGAAAAAAGGAACTTCAACCAATTTCTAAATTAGTTTTCTAAAGTTCTTAAGGCAATGCAATTCACTAACATGATTACATTGCGATATCTTATTTCGAACGAAGGGGCAAATACAGCAAAATATAGACACCAACAAATAGAACGGAGAAGGCAGAGGGGTAGACTACAAGAAATCAACCAAATAAAGAAGAGAAACAAACGAGGAGGCTGCAGAACGTCGTTGTCGTCGTCATTGTCGTCGAGTGGTTTGAAGCATTTCAGAGTTGCAGGACGATGGGAATGTGGCCTTCATATCCACATCCTTAGCCGATCAGTCTGGTGTTGTAGGACCTGCAGTTCAAGCATTTTTGAGCCACAACATGATACTGCACCTTCGACGTTTTCCCGCAATCGTTGCAAAGAATCCAAACCTGTCCAAAATAAGAAGATTTCAAGTCCGGGTGAACCAAAAAAGTCAATGAATATGTTACAAATATACACATTGTAAACCCGTGATTAACTAGGTCCACTTGTACACACTTCGACTATATCTCACTTCTTCGTGACGAAATGTAGTAGGGTCGAAGTAGTCAGACGGGGCCACCAGCACATGAACCCATGTATACTCTATAATGAAAGAAGATTGAAAGTTTTGGAGTTTTACCAGTTTATTTTGGTATGGCTCTGGAACTGGGGTAGCTGCAATTTCCATGTCAAATTTTTCCCACACCTTGGACATATCACAAACGGACTTGGAGCAGAGAGGACAAGCAAATCTGTGGCAGGGTCACAATTTGATTCAGAAACAAAGTTCCATAATCATAAGTCAACAAGAATTGTGTATAAACACTCACTGAAAGTGATCTCTCATCGCATTCAAGCAACTTTGATGGATGGTGTGTCCACACGGCATCACCGATACGTCGTTTGTCGAATCAAACAGATACTGCAAGCCATTTGATAAAGATGTGCATTATCAGTATGTGTGGGTATACAATAGATAGCAAAATGAAAGAGGGAAATGAAGGGAAAGCTTTACCTCAAAGCAAACAGGACAGTCATGGTGCATTGCTCCTTCGATGCAGGGATGGCTATTTTTTAAAATAGCTGAATAGCAGCAACCTTCATGGAAAAAAGTACATATATATAAAAATTAGCACACATGTGACCATCAATAGCAGGATGAATTCAGATAATCACATATGACTTACCACACTTATGGCAGTGGAAGAAGTTCTCCCGCCCCCCAATTCTGTCAAAACGTTCAAAAGCCATCGAGTAAGCGTGGGAACAGAGCCCTAATCTTCGAGAAGGGATACGGATTAGGATATCATACCTACAAATTCCACACCCATTACAGTGATACTGCTTCTTAGATGTCTGCAACAAAGAAAATGTATACCAAAATAAATACAAACTAAGATTGTCTAATCTAAATTGTTGATGCATACGAAAACCAGACGTGAATTGGTGCACAAAATGGAAGACTAAGTGGGTGCCCAATACTCACATCATCATCAAACAGCTTGCAAGTCTCACAGAAATATTTCCCAAAACACACACCACAGTTCATACATTCTTGGCGAACCTGTTGAATCAGAACCAACAAAATCAGAATCTACAGTCCATGAACATAAGAATTACTCATCTTTACGAAATCGAAATGGTACGGTTAAAACCCACCTCCTGTTCAGCTCCACAGAGTGAGCATATAACCTGAGAAAAATTAAGAGATACTCAACTTCATGAAAATTCTTTATAGGTTTAATGGTGCTTATTGGGAGTGAGTCCCACGTTGGCTAATTTAGGGAATGATCATGGGTTTATAAGTGAGAAATACTATCTCCATTGGTATGAGGCCTTTTGGGGAAGCCCAAAGCAAAACCATGAGAGCTTAGGTTCAAAGTGGACAATATCATACCATTGTGGAGAGTCGTGTTCATCTAACAGAGTAATCAGTGGGTCGATTTACCTGGTCGACTTCATGGCGTGGGATCTCGTGTCTTTCCTTCTGATCAACATAAATACTATTCTGCAAGAGGGAATAAGTAAGGTTATAAGTGGTGGTTTAGAATGCAGTTCAAAATGAAGTTGCTTGCCTTTATTTCATTGTGGCAATGGCGGCAATCAAAGATTTCATTACAACAAGGAGCTCGGATGCGGCACCGTCGCCTATAGTGTGCACATCTGCAAAATGACACCATCTGTGTTCAGCAAATGAACAGACAGGACTTGAAACAGAGTTAGAACGCTAATTGTTAATGGACTTGCCCATATTGCATAGATCCCCTCTCCAACAACTCCTGGGAGTAAGTTACGACCTCTGCCATGGACAATGGTTGAATCTGGATAGTAACTTAGAGCACCTGCATGTAGGAAGGGCTTTAGCAATGGTTCTAAAGGCAGAAAAGGCATGTTAAACACCCGTCAAACAGGCCATGACATTGTTGGTTTCTTGCAGCAGACCACAGCACATCAGCAACAAAGAATCCAATAAATGTTGTACAGCTCCAATCATCATAACTCCATGAGAGGAATTCAGTTCATCCAAAAAAGAAGGGTTATAAGAGACCCATATATAATAACACTACAACGCAGCACTGGGGGAACTCCAGAGCCTCCAGCTTTGAATAGTGACCAATTGCACATCATGATCACTTGATCTGTTGAAGACTACATGCACAGCTCTCACGATGTTGCTATCAGTGAGCACCTAGAACTCTAATGGTCACTGAGGGTCTGGGAATAACCAGAAGATTTCATCTGAAACATGTTGAAGAAGCAAAGAACTCCAAAGATTCTGCCCATACTCCAACATCAAGATTTAGTAAGGGCTGCCGACAAGGCTGCCGACAAGAATCCAACATCCAACACCACCCAGAAGCATCTAGATGGGCGTCTTAAAAATGACACTTAAAATGGAAGACAAATAGATAACATTCATTAATCTGCATTTCTCTTCTCTGTTCTACGCCTTTGAAAACAGAGTTCAAAGCCTTCAATACTGCAGAAGGCAAGGGGAACTTCAACAGACATCTAACTCCTAATTTCTAAAAACAAAACCCTAATCTACGAGCATTTCAATGCAACCAAAATGTATCAGAGAGATTTAAAAACTTCACTGGATCACGGTCTATAATCAAATCGAAACGCCACTTAACCAAACAACTAAAGCAATATCTAGCATTACAAAAGAAACCTAAGATAAGCCTATGGAACGAACATTTCTCAGACCCAATAACTGCAAATAACCTAATGGTCTCATACGCATCGAAAAAAAACATGCAACGAGAATTTCTACTTCTTTAATAGAAAGGGAATGAAAAAAAAATCATAAAAAATTTGGGACCATATACCTCCACGATTGTAGTTGCAGATGAAACGAGAACACAATGGAACCACTCACAATAAGTTGAACTAAATCAGAAGATATAGGATCCCAAATCATTTTGAACCAAAATCATCAAAGCATCTAAACAAAAAAAATCAATCCAAAGGCACATGCAAATCATATTGCCTAACAAAACACAACATAATCAAACTACGATCCAACCGTACCACAAAAAGAAGATCAAAAAACAAGAACTACAGAAAACTTTCTTAATAGAAAAACAAACTTCCTTCAATCAGCAAATACACAAGCTTGCGGCGGCCACCCGAATCTCAAAAACAGCAACAAAAGAGACCCAACACAGTCAAGAAACTCACTAGAATCGAGAGTGAGATGAGAAAAAACACGAGAAATACAAGAATCGGAAGGTATATGGTACAATTCGAATCGAAGCAGTATTTATAGCAACGGCTAGGGCGTGGTTTCGAGAGGCTTCCCAATGGGCGCTTCTCAATGAACGAAAACGACACTGTGGAGTTTCTAAGTGTCCCATCCTTAATAGTTGTACGTGAAAGTAGGCTTCTACTCCTCAAAGTGCACTCTTACCCTTCAAAAAAAAAAAGAAAAAAAGAAAAAAGAAAAAAAAATCCCTTTTATACCTTTTTTGCTGTATTTTTCCTGCAATACATGATTTAATACCATTTTTAAAATTACAAAAATAATATAATTTTTCAAAAAATAATAAATAAACCCAATTCAAATACATTATATAATATTTAACTTTTTATCTACTAAAATAAATTGAATATTCAAATTAAAAACATAATATTTTAAAAAATGAAATTGATAAAATTATTGGTTTTTTTTTTTTTAGGATAAATAGTACAAGTGTGTTTCTTTATTAAACAAAAGTTTATATTTTAAAATAAGAATTTCAAAAATATTTTATATAAAAACATGTATATTATCTCTTTTTTGTTTATATTTTTTTTAGTTTTATTTTTTTTAATTGAAAAAAAAAATCAAATCACTCCACTAATTAAATTTATAAGGGTTCTTCAAGAGTTAATTTTTTTAAATATATATATATATATATTAATTAACCCTATAAGTTCTTATAATTTAATATTTATAGGTGTTAATTCATTAAACTTTTAATTCAATATTTTTTAAAATTAATTATTTTTGTTTATTTTTAATACGTGTATAAATATTTATTAAAAAATTAATACATTACGTATTTATTAGACCAAAAATTTTATTTTATTAAATAATATTGAAGGAATAAAATAAAAATAATTAATGGAAAACAAGAAAAACAAAAAGAGCCGTGGGCAAAAGAGAGGGAATCTATACACAATCCGCCCAGATTCAATCATGGTTGAGAGGAAGCGAGAGAAGTGACCTAGTAAAGTGGATTACAGTTGTAATTTCCTTTTCCTTTTCTATTTTTTTTTCGAAAATTCTGAATTGTCGGTAATTTTGAAGCGTGTTTGATTCCAAAAGCCCAAAACCCAAAACCTGGTCAAGAGGATTCGATTTCTACGGTCCTGATTTAAACAGACGCGTAGGGAATGATGTGTCGTCCAAGACCTAGTCAAGGGGATTCGAATTTAAACTGACGCATAATATAGAGAATGATGTGTCGTCCAAGACCTGGTCAAGGGGATTGACGGTCCTGATTTAAACTGACACGTAGGGAATGATGCGTCGTCCAAAACCTGGTCAAGGAGATTTCATTTTGACGGTCTTGATTTAAACTGACGCGTAGGGAATGATGCATGTTTAGTAAGTACGTGTCAACATGAAGGTCGGAAGTAATTTGACGCGTACAATAAATAAATATACTAATAATTAAAAATAAATAAATAAATAAATAAAGGTTTTTGTTTTTGGATAAGGGTTTGGGATAATTGTGCATTACGGAATTGGGTGGACCCCTCTTTGCCACTTCTATATTCCTCTCATTTTATTACTAAATTTTTAATTTGGTTCACATACTTGAACATTAAAAGAACATAAATTTACCACATTATTCAATAAATTTGTGAATATTATAAAATATTAACAAAATAAATAAATTAAAAAAAAATCCGACCAATTCAATCCAACTCTATCGGGTTAATGTCTCAAACTGATCTAACCTAGTTAATGTTTGTTAATATGTCTCAAACGAACACGTCCCAAAAAATTTACGACCTTTGTTAATATGTCTCAAAATGAGGAGGCTCATGGCTGCTAGAAGCCTAACAAAGAAAGGTTGCGGTTGAACGAACACATCTCAACCCGGTTGTTTGAATTAAAAAAATTAACAGACCTCTGTTAATGTCTCAAACTGATCCAACCCGGTCGGAGGAACATGGATGGCTAATGAGGCTCATGGCTGCTAGAAGCCTAACAAAGAAGGGTTGCTGTTGAACGAACACATCCCAATCCAATATTTTATGATTAAATTAGGTTGTTTGAATTAAAAAAATTAACCGACCTCTGTTAATGTCTCAAACCGATCCAACCCGATAGGAGGAATATGGATGGCCAATGAGGAGGCTCATGGCTGCTAGAAGCCTACTCAGCCACATTATTGTAGTACATGAGTGGTTTGGAATATGATATGGGAACTTTTGTTCTCTGTTTTTAATGTCATTTTTATTCATAGCAAAAATGGATAAAAAGGTTCATAAATTTACATATATTTGGTTAGAATTTTAGGGGTTATGGACGTGGATAGGCAGGAATAATCCAAAAAGATGTACAACTTTTGCATTATTATTGTTTTTTTCTTTTATTTTTTTTTTTCCTTTTTTGATGGATTCTTCATGCTCGCTTCCCTTCTGTACAAGAACTAAATCTTATGGGAAGATTTGGAGAAATTTTGGAATCAGATCAAAAGTGGATAATATATATATATATATATATATATATATATTATATGGGCGGTCCGGGGGGTCATCTCGGCTCCTCTCTTCTCGAGAATCCATATATTCCTTATCAGTATATGGACAACTATCTCTCGAGCACAGGTTTAGGTTCGGCCTCAATGGGAAAATAAAACGGAGCACCTAACAACGTATCTTCACAGACCAAAAACTACAAGATCGCCCCTTTCATTATGGGGTGACGGAAGGATCGTACCATTCGAGCCTTTTTTTTCATGCTTTTCCCGGAGGTCCGGAGAAAGCTCCAACCATTAGGATTTTCTTAATTCTCCTTTCTCGAAAGAGAAAGGAAGAACGTGAAATTCTTTTTCCTTTCTTCGCATGGACCAGGAGATTTGAAAAAAGATCTTAGAGTATTTAGGGTTGGGATAGGAGGATTTCTTAACGCCTTCTTTTTTCTTCTCATCGGAGTTATTTCACAAAGACTTGCCATGGTAAGGAAGAAGCGGGAACCAGCACACTTGGAGAGCACAGTACGTATGATGGTAAGATATCATATTGAACATTCTACGTTGGTTAGAGAAGAGAACGAAACATTTATCTTATTAAGGTGTGAAAACTTCTCTCTAGCCGACGCTTTTTTAGAACGGTGAAGAAACAATATCTTACCCGTAAACATTCATGTTAAGTAGTTAAATAGTATCTTCTTCAGGTTTGGGGCTTTTCTTTTCTGTTCTTCTCTTCCTTTTCCTTAATTTCCAACGTAAACAACAATCAAAGATTCGAAGATTCGAACCTAAGAGCCCTAGAGTGGACGATTGAAACTTACAACCTATTAAAAGGGCAGATTTTGATCGAGAGTTGTAACGGCCTAAGTAGATATTATCCTATTTGGACTTTTCTTTTCCGTCTTCCCTAAGGTTTTTAAAATGCTTATGTTAGGGAGAGGTTTCCACATTTTTATAAGAAATATTTCGTTTCCCTCTCCAACCAATGAGGTATCTCACAATCCACCCTCTTAGTGGCTGAGAGTCCACGCTAGCACACCGCCCGGTGTCTGACTCTGATACCATTTTTTAATAGACGCGTTCTAGAATGGTGAGATTGATAACGATACGTAAAGAACCAAAGTGGACAATTTCTGCTAGCAGTGGACTTGGGCTGTTATAAGAGGAGTTTTTTTTTTTCAAACATACGGTGGGATAGCAGAGATTCAAACTCATAAGGGTTATCAACTATTAAATTAGTAAGGATTATGAGACATATTATGTTCGACTAAAAGGTCAGTAATTTGAATTCTCACTAACATGTTGAACTAACAAAACAATGATGCAACTTGAACATGGTCTATTGTTCAAGACATATCAGACTGAAAGTTCAATAAAAGAAAAGGAAAATAATAAAATATAAACTAAGATTGGAAAAGAAAAATCAGATAATTTTGATTTATATATATATTTTTTATAAAAGAAATTGAAACGATGTGAGAATCATTCCGATCAAAAGCATCAGTAGAAAGAAGACACTGACCTAAAGAAGACGTTGCCACATTCGCAAAAGGATGCATTAGTGTCAAGCATCTGCCATGCGTTTTCCTCATAATTCAAGTGTACGACAAAATTCAGACACCTTTATTGTAAGAATGAAACTTGAGTGATAGTAGTCACTTTGATTAAACTCGCAGTAATACCTTAAGTCTCGGGGTAGTTTAGATAGTATCTAAGTTTCAGTTATATTAAAGCCTAGAAGTTTGACTTTGGTCATCAGAAATCTAAGACCTGGAACAATATTGACGGATGAATAGAATAAGCATTTTTTAAGTTTCAGTCAGATTAGAAACTTTGGGTCTAGTAGGCCATATTTGATATAAACTAGGAGGAGTTTAGCTACCTAAATCTTTACAGTGAAATCTCACATTGATTGGAGAGAAGAACGAGTGCCAGCGAGGACGCTGAGCCTCGAAAGGGATGGATTGTGAAATCCCACATTGATTGGAAAGAAAAACGAGTACCAGCAAGAACGTTGAGTCCGAAGGGGAGTGGATTGTGAGATCCCACATTAGTTGGAGAGAGGAACAAATGCCAACGAGGATGTTGAGCCCCGAAATAAAGTGGATTGTGAGATCCCACATCGAATGGAAAGGGGAATGAAACATTCCTCATAAGGTGTGGAAATCTCTCCCTAGTATACATGTTTTAACCATGAGGCTGACAGTGATACGTAATGAGCCAAAACATACAATATCTAGTAACAGTGGGTTTGCATTGAAGCCTCATGCTTATGTGATTTTGAAAAAAAAAAAAAAAATCAATCATGAGTGATTGTCATAGGTCATCAATGAAACTTGGCCCAGCGTACTCGCTAACACTCATTCCACTCTCCAATCGATGTGGGATC